TGAAATTGATATATTGACAATGAGCATACAACAATGATGATCATCAACCATGAAAGTCTTATTTATTTACAAATGATAATCAAACTCTCTAAGTGACTGATATGATGAATATCAGAGTTTCAGATATATAATCTTCAAATCAAATACTGAAAAGAATTGAATGCTATCATATCAGATGCTATAAGTTGTAGATCTGACTTTATGGAAGAAGACTCAGTGAATATAATGCAGAGAGAGCTTATATTGACAGCACTGAGAGATTGTGATGAGACAGAGTGGTTGAAAGCCATGATTGTCCACTTGAGAGATGAAAGTGTATTGAATGATAAATGTCTGACAAAGATGATAGAAGAAATGCTTTCAAAATTCAAGTTTGTAAAGTTGAAGAAAAATGTTGTGCTCTATCACAATCTTGATTACACTGAGATACTGTATCTTGAGTCTCAGTTTCAATGAGATCTGATAAATTGTATGCACAAGAAGTTTGACCACTTGAAAAGTTCAGAACTCTTAGATATTCTGAAAAATCAAATATACTGATTAAGTATAAAGAAAGATATTCAGACATATATACAAGAATGCTCAAACTGTCAAGTCTCTAAGAATGCAAGACAAGACTTGAAGCATGAGAGAGCACAACATCAGATAAAGAGTATAATTAAGCTGTTTGAATGTTGAGGGATAGATCTTATAGAGATATTATCAAGAATGTCAAATAAGAACCACTGAATAATAACAGCAGTTGATTATGCCACAGAGTAGTCAATTATGTAAGTGATGTTAGAAGTGATGAAGAAAATCATTACTAAGTTTCTATATGATGATATCTATATTAGCTATAGTATGTCTTATAAGATATTGATAGATAATGGAGCAAATCTTGTAGAAGAAGCTGTGAGACACTTTGTTAAACAGTTGCAGACAAAGCATCACACAACAATACTCTATTATTCTTATACAAATGAAAAAGTTGAATATTTGAATGAAATACTAGACAGCATGCTGATGAAATATCTAGTGGGAAAGCTTATAAAATTATGAAATGAATATCTTGAATAAGTGTTATTTGCAATGCAAGTTTGTCAGTATACAGTCTCAAAGTGTTTGCTGTTCTATCTACTCTATAAGATACATCTGTATATTCTGAGAAATACACAGAAGCAGATAGAGAAGAAGACAGTAATTATAGATATGAAAGTAAGAATGAGAGAAGTTAGTCATATCTGAGCAAAAGCAAACAAATTACTGCTCAATCATATCATACAAATAAAAAGAATACAAGACTCACTAGTGAAAGAAACAAGTCTCACAGTAGGTATTTGAGTTCTTGTATGCAATAAGAGATCTGAGAAGTTTCAATCAAAATGATTTGAGCTGTACAAAATTCTCAAATCACATTCTCTTGAAATATATACTTTGAAGAAATCAGAGGGGTGGATTCTATGCAATCTCATCAATGACTCTTATCTTATAGAGATGAAAGTAGAAGATTCAAATAAACTGTGATTATCTGCAGTACTATCATCAGTGTTGAAGAAGAGAGAATTTATAATAGAAAAGCTCTGAGAAGTTAGAGAAATTGTCAATGCTTATGAACTGAATGATATCATTTACTTGAATCTCTCCACAATAATCAAAAAGAAATGAAAGGAAATGAAAAAAGTGGGTATATAATATATACTGATAAGTGATGAGACTGTTGCTGGCTGTATGATATTGCAATATAGACAGTGAGTACAATGTGATTGAGAACAAGCTCAAGACAGCTGATCAACACATGAGTCAGATTATAAAAATAAAAGAAATTTAGATGAGAATTCAACTGTCTATACTAGCTTGAGTATGAAGATTTCAGAGAATAAACTGTCAGAAATGTCAGTGAATGCATTGAATCAAGTTAATTTAATATCTGAGAATGCTCAGAGATTGAGCAAGATTAGTTTCAATAAATTATTTGCTGTAGTTATCTGAGCTTGTGAAGAGGGACAGTATAATGCATGGAGATAGAATACTCTTATTGAAAGATATGAGATCTGCTGCATCTGATTATCAAAGTGTAGAACTGATAAAAGATTGCATGAGATTGATATCAGATAAAAAGAAGAGAAAGAGAAAAAGAAAATCAGAAAAAAGATCTATTTGTATGCAGCTCTAGTAGCTGCTGCAAGAACTTTATCTGATTTCTAAAAATATATGAATATTGTAAAATAAAGAAAAAAGAAAAAGATGTATATCAATGAAATGCTCAAGCTCAACATTCTCAAGAATAATTTATACACAATAAAAATTAAAACTTAATCTGTATTAAGAACTTTAAGATCTCAAGATGAGTGTATAGAAGTGCAGAGTATACCTCTGTCTCATGAAGAGTCTGATATATTGATTTAATATTCTCAATGAAGAGATTTGCAGAAAGCTCAATAAAATGATGAAAATATATATATGAAGAAAAATCAATCAGAGTGAAGAAGGACAAGATGAAAGTGAGTAATGCAGTGGAGTAGATATCTGAATCTCTATAAAAATAAGTGATGAATACTCATCTGATAGAAAGTGAAGAAAGAGAAGAAAGAGTAGAAGTGAAAGCAGAAGTGAAGAAGAATGAATGAATTGCAAAAGAATTGAAGATGAAAGCAGTAATAGATGTATATGAGATAGTATTCAAAGTGACTACAAAGTATTAGCAGTTATTATAATGCAAAGAAAAGAGTATATATTTACTGAAAGAATAGAAACTCTTCTTGAAGCTTCATAAACAATTGCAATAGAAGTGAGAATGATCAATGAAACAGTTATATACAGAAGACAGAATATAAAATTGAAATGAATCTTTGTTATATATACAACTCACACAAGAAACAGATGTATACTTACTCTGAGTATAAAAAAGTGCTATATTACCATTCAAACTACTCTACACACATATTTTCTTTCTATAAATAACTAGTTTGAAGATTATATATCAATATAAAGAATGATAGCATTCATCTGATAAGCTGAAAGTGTGTAAAGACAAGAAAATGATGCAAAAACTGATGTGAATGAATATGATGTGAAGATTTTCATCTGTTATAATCTCAATAATACAGAGACTCTGAACAATTTCATCTATAACAAATTAAAATAAAATTTATAAATAAAGAGAGAAGAGTATTGCATATACTCAGTACAATCTGTTTGAATGACAGTATTTTCTCTGAAATGTATAAGATTGCTAAATATTTTGTACTTGCTTCAAGCAAGAGATGTGATCAACAAATAGCTAGTGAAATGAATTGTATTGTACAAAACTTGTGTATGAAAATGTGTTTTTTCAGAAGCAGTGAATGCAGAGAGAAAATGTGAAGAATAAAGAAGAAGACTGCTGAAGATACACAACATCTCTAAAAGAGTGAGTGAAAGTAAAAAACCAGCATAAAAGAAGAGAGAGGAATTGATGTGGGCAGAAGAGATAGAATTGAAGGCAGTGAGAGAAGCACAAGCAATAAAGAAGATAGAAATAGTAGAGAAGATAGAGATATGAATGAGAGCAGAGAGAGCAGCAGCAGAAGATAATATGAGAGCATCTGTTATTATATTGTCATCATAAGCATCACCACCACTGCTCATATCTGCACCAGCAACCTCACCAACTGTTTTATCCATGTTTTTGTTATTAATTGAGACATTCATGTTATTATTATTGTGTCTGATTCTCACAACATTGTCAGACACAACCTTCTCAACAGAAGTGAGATTGTATAAGAGAGGATTATTGAAAAAGAAGTTTGAATGATTGTGAGTCAGATGTGTACTCTGATGATGAGAAGTAGAAGCTAGCAATGATTAGCAACTGCAAGAGTCATTAATTTGCAGTCAAATTAGCTTTTGACAAAATTTGATTGATGAGAACTTATCAGTAGATCAGCTGATGTGACTAAAATGATATAAATTGTGATGATCAGATGCTATATTGTAGAATAGAAGAGAGCTAGACATTTGATAAGATAGAATAGATGTGTAGAATGATTGAAAACAAGGCAGAGAAGATTGAATGAAGGGGTATGAGTGAATGAATAGAATGAGATAGTTGTGAATATGATGTGATTAGTGATGAGATGGTGTTGTTGTGATAGAAATTCTTGTGCATGCAAAGTGAGAGTGTCTTACTGTTTTGAATTAGACAACACATGATCACAACAAGGGCTTGATGAACATATACTACAAACATTTCAGAGATAGTATGCTGTGAAGGTGGGTGTGGATGGCAGAACACAGTCACAAGAGTATAGACAGATTTGATAGAAGAGAATGTAGTAATTTCAGCTTATTATTCTTCTGTGGTGTATGCCATTCTCTATTATCAAGAATGATGTACACTATCACACTAGTTATTTCATATAAGAAGAGCTGCAAAGCTTAGAAGCTTTGAGAAGCTTAAGCAATCTTTGAATCACAAATATCAACATCAAATTCATCCTTCACAAAGCAGACAGTCTCATTGCAATATGCAGTTGGATATATCTCAAAAAAATCCTTCAAATCTGACAAGATATCTGATGTGATCTTTGACTTTACATCTCATGTTGAATGAGAACTTCTAGCAGTTTCAAAGCAGTGAATATTTTGTTGAATTTAATATACAGTGGCTAGATGATACTCAATGATCCACACAATCTGAGCAGGTATATAATCATTGTTTAGAAGATGTATGATCTCATTGATGGTAAATTCACTGAGCTGAGGGGACATATTGGCAGATTTGATGATAAAGGTGTGTATTTGATGATAAAGATGCATATTTGAATGAATTGGATGATATTTGAATGATTCTAGAGATACATGGATATTTTGGTTATTTTTGCAGTGTTTTGCTACTACTTTTCAGGGGGTGGCAGAAAATTCTGTTTTCGCAAGCTTTACGTCCGCCACAATACATCTTACGTGGTGAAACAAACAAACCACTGACTTTGACGATTTCATTGTCGGCGTTTTCGATTCTTCTCCCTCCACTATTTCATCAATTCTGCTTCGCCTCCCGCACATTCCATTATTTATACTGCGGGATAGGTGTTTCTTCCTTTCTTCTTTTCTTCGAATATTAGACTTCTCTTCTTGAATATTATTGACGCCTTGTCCAGCGTATAACTACTATAATTCCTCTAGACCCTGTTCATGCGCCCCTTGAAATATGTCCACAGAATATTGAATATCAAGCGAGCCCGGCGCGATAGTTAATATAATTACTAAATTCATTCCTCATATCCTTTAGCTCTGTTTTTCTCGCCCCAACCTCCTATCCGTTAAAACCGGGCTGCTTTCCCCTCCTTAAATGGCCGCCATGGCCATCCCACGCTCACTGCGCCGAACGAACCCTATTACCCTCATTCTAGCTGGTCTACTCACGGTTGGGTTCCTTTTCTTTATCTTCTCTCCTTCGACTTCTGCCACTGCGTCCACTTTCCAAGAACGGAAAAACTATGCGGCTGCGAGCGTTCTCTCTCCTCCTTCCAAACCCTTCTTCAAGGAATCCCCGATGAAATCGAATGGCCGTCCTGCGCCGCCCCCAGTCGTCCGATATAATATGAATAACAACACTGCGACAACAGACTCGGTCAAAAACCATGAGCGTGTGCTCATTCTTACGCCGCTAGCTAGATTCTACACAGAATACTGGGACAATTTGGTGAAACTCTCATTCCCACATCAATACATCTCTCTGGGATTTATTATCCCGAAAACGCGGGATGGGAATGCTGCGGTATCAGCATTGCAGGCTGCTATTAAAAAGACCCAGTCAGGGCCGGTCGATGATAGATTTGCTAGCATTACTATCCTACGGCAAGATTTCGACCCCCCAATTCCATCTCAGGATGAAAAGGAACGACACAAAATGGAAAATCAAAAGAAACGACGGGAAGCTATGAGTCGGGCGCGGAACAGCCTTCTCTTTACGACATTGGGGCCGTCGACATCCTGGGTCCTCTGGCTCGACGCCGATATTATCGAGACCCCTGCGAGCCTGATTCAAGATCTGACAAAACACAACAAGCCCGTCATCGTACCGAACTGCTATCAACGTTTCCAAAATCCAGACACAAAACAGATGGAAATACGGCCATACGATTACAATTCATGGGTAGACAGTTTGCAGGCACAGGAACTCGCCAAGGATATGGGCCCGGATGAAATTCTGCTGGAGGGATATGCAGAAATGCCAACCTACAGAACACTGATGGCTCACATGGCCGACCTCTCTCCAAACCGGAATACCGATGTAATAATGTCACTTGACGGAGTCGGGGGAACAGCTCTTATGGTAAAGGCGGACGTTCATCGCGATGGCGCAATGTTCCCTGCTTTCCCTTTCTACCATCTAGTAGAAACGGAGGGTTTTGCAAAGATGGCACGAAGACTCGGGTGGAAGTGCTTTGGATTGCCGAATTATTTTGTGAGTACCCCACCTTCTTCCTACTTATAGAAGCTGATACATCATACCAGAGTGCGTTGCACCTGTTGCTAATTTTTCATTTTCCTTACAGGTGTATCATTATAACGAGTAAACTGATTTGCATTCAACATACTTGACATTGATTCTCTATCCATTAGAAATCCGGGTTTACTATAAGTATTTTGGCGCCTCATATTTCATCTATTTGTTTCCCTTCCGTAATTCTTGATCCGCTTTGGACTTGTTTACACTTCAATTTTAATTTGCTTCCTTTTGGTCACGGAGTATCTAATGGTTTCTCTTCCCACATAACGTACTTCACCACTTTCTCAGCCATGTACCCATGTGACATAAAACTCAATTTAGTTATTCCTATCAAACTGATTGACCTGCTTGACATCACTATATGACTACTAGCCGTAGACATTAATATAGAAATGCAAGTATTGTCTAGATGTTGTACGCAGGCTTCATATAACTAGAGTAAAGAAGTGTAAATATATATAGATAAAATTCACTATACAAGACCAGCTGCTATAGTAGATCACAGCTTTCATCATTTCAAATCTGTAGCGTTTTTATTTATACAAGTAGTGATACAATTAATCATGTATATAGTGCTTCGGCTCTTCACTGACTTGTCACTAATTTTCAAAGGATAGAACACTCAAAATAAGTTGATATTTACACTTAGAATTTCTGAGTATATGAATGTACTGTACAAAGATTGGAGCCGCATTGTTCTAACTCGTGCTCACATACTAGACTATATCTCATAGGTAGGTAGGCATAACGCAATACACTTGTTGGCTGTGTCGTTACTACGTATATTTCTCAAAAAAAAGTTCTGCCGTAACAACATGATTATCTCCAACCATCCAACCCGCCATAACTTATATGCGCACCAAGAAAGAGATAGAGTACATAGGGCCTTCGTAGTTTATGTAGGCGTCCTCAGCAAGAATTATGTTGTTATGTCGTTATTAGATACTAACGTGATCGTGGTGTTAATGTTGTGACACAAGGTGGGTGAGGTGAACGCGGTGAAGATGGTGTAACTATATATAATTGAGGCATTTTTATATTTAAATAGTGATCTACACAAAAAAAAGACAGCTTTGAAGAAGTACCAAAAGCACCCTTTCGTTCCTCGTTTCACGAGGTCAAAGTATTCATCGAACTCCAAATTCAAATGATTTGTTAATCATTTGGCTGTACATTCGGGATCTGGGAATGTATTTCTAAAGAAAAAGTGTGTCCAAACTGCTGCGAGGAAACGTTACTGAGTCATTGACCGAGTTACTCAAGCTCTTCTTATTCCTGTTGGTCATATTCACTCCAACGATGCCTCAATCAAGCCCACGATATGCTAGACAGAAAATAGTCAGTAACTAAAACAAATAATAATCCTCGACCAAACTTACCAAAGCATAATTCCCGCCCCAGCTGCCATTGCAATAAATTGTTTAACTGCCTTGCTCAACTCATGCCCTTTATCCCTGCCCGTCTCCAATAGCTCAGGAATAACTGCAACAGTGCCCACATACAAAAACGTTCCCGCAGTGAACGGAAGAAGCATATCTTTCATTGTCAAACTCGTGCCAAGAAGGCCTGTTTGCAACGCCCTCGCCCCAGAATCCGAGAAGTCTCCTACTTCGCTGTTGTTGCCAAACTCTTGAACCGCGATTCCAATGAAGGTTCCTAGGAACGCTCCAATGGCAGTGAGGAATTGGGCACCCATTGCCTTCCGCTTGGAAAAGCCAGATTGGATCAGTAGTGCAAAGTCGCCGACCTCATGGGGGATTTCATGAAAGAAAACTGCCACAGTCGTTGTTGCGCCGATGGTTGGGGAGGCGTAGAAAGATGAGGACATGGCGAGCCCGTCGGTAATATTATGAGTGAAGTCCGCGATTAGGTTGAGATATCCACTTAGCTTTGTGCTCGGGTTTATTTCCTTCCCGTCGGTCTCCGACAAACTGTTTGCCTCAGGTTTGGTGTTTGGCTTGCGCTTCTTCAGCTCGCCTTTGTTCTCCATATTGGAGGTTGCGGAGCTAGAGGATATTGCCATACTATCTTCCACTGCATGGCTATGGCTGTGGCTATGATCATGTCCATCCTCTCCCCCGGTAGCGATACGGAGCCCCTTGTCCATGGCCACGAATGTCAAGAACCCTACGAGGATAGCAAGACCAAGGAGAATGTTTCTATTTGGTTCGACGAGGACAAAGCGGGCATGTTCGGGGGAATCTTCACCTAGGAATATCTCGGGTAGAAGATGAAAGAGAGTATCGCCGAGAAGTCCACCAACCGCAAACGCAACCATTATCGATAACGAGGAAGGATCGATGTTTGGAGGACATAATGCGAGGAGGAAATCTGCCAATTGTGAGAATGGAACTGTTTCAGGGCTCAGCTGATAAGACGCATACTGGGTGGTCCTGATATGTAGAATGTCGCTAGTATAGCATTTACCGCTGGACTGCCAGGGAAGAGCACCGCGAAGAGTTGAGAGGTGAAGCCTGTGGATTCGGGGCTTGTTGCAAGTTTGTGCGCGTTCAGTTCTTGGACAAAAGGGCATTCCTAGTTTAATTGATCAATCATTTATGATGTTCCGCTATTCAGTTTCAAAATCGGTAAATGAAGGTGTTTCGTACTTGCAACTTGGCTTCTATCTCTGACGCTGAGAGCTGTTCAACGGGTATCTGCTCGCGTGAGCTCTTAGTCGCCGCGAGACATGTGAGGAGTAGAATAGTAAGTAGGAACAACGCCCGATGGCGTCGTGAGATATAAGAAAGCATTTAAATAAGTAGGGCGCTTGCGCCCAATGATCGTGGAAGATCGATTGTCAAAATCTTTGGTTGATTTCAATCCTGAGCTTTGAAAGCTGTTGCATTCGAATGAAGCCAGCGACTGCATGTAAGAGACACGTGATTTATGACACTTGGGAACTTCTCAACGCATAATCTGTAGTCGAAAATCAATTCCAAAAACCTTCGTAATTGAAAATATGCAGTATTTCCTGGGTATGAAGTGCCATGTACTTTGTCATCAGAAAGGCGTTATAATACTTAGTCGAAACGACAGAATGCGGACCCATCTTTCAACCGATTTAGGAAAAAAAAGAGAAGAAAAGAAGAAAAGAAAAGGCTACAGGTATCAAAAAAAATTACAACACCCCCTTTGTACTCCCTACCTCCCCACCGCCTCCAACCTCTCCATCTCCTCTTCTCCGACAAGCCTGTCTCGTCGCTACCGCAACAGCCTTAAAAGCGCTCTCTGCCCGATGATGATCATTTTCCCCATAAACACATCCAACATGTAATGTGACGCCCGCCGCCTGCGCGAAACTCGCAAGTCCATGCGAAATCATCTCCGTACTCAATGCGCCGACCTTCTCGCGCTTCAGGCCTAGGTTTATCACACTGTATGGACGGGAGGAGATGTCGATTACTGCCCACGAGAGGGCTTCGTCGAGGGGGGCATCCCCGCGGGCGAATCGGACAAGGGAGACGCGGGGGCCGAGCGCTTTTGTGAAGGCGGTGCCGAGCGCAAGAAAGACATCTTCCACTGTGTGGTGGTCGTCGACTAAGGAAGTGAATTAGCGACTTGCTTTTCTTCTTTGATCTTGTATGGGAGAGAAATATCTATGAGTGAAGGAGGCGGGGTGACAGAAGAAACTGCCGCCAAACTCCTGCAAAGCAGAAAATAGGTATCCAGTAAATAAGAGAGGGGGAAGCTAACTGATCAAATCCCCTTTACATCGCACTGCCAGACTCCATCCAGCATGCTTCGCTAGCGCATGTAGTAGGTGATCCAGAAACCCTATGCCGGTAGTTATGGTGATCTGTTGCGAGGGGGTGAATTGAGTGGAATGTGCTGCTTCAGGAGGAGGTATTACGCGGAAGGATTCCTCTGAGTTTGTCCGTGGGAAGTGCTCGCACGGTTCGTAGGCCGGGAGCACGCCACCATCAAGTGAGAGGGAGACTTGCACCTTTGTCTCGTTGGTTAGGCGGGTAACGGTAGTGCTGCGAGGGGTGAGGGACATGGATGGAGCTTTCGAGTATGATATACCCTTATGTCAGGATAGTTGGTGGCTATTTGGGTATTCAATTGGATTGCAAATAAATCGTAGAGGGACGAATATGGCGATAGAAATGCCGATGAAATTGTTCAACAAATCCGAGTTACATTATGTTTGCCGATCGGATAAATATATGTCCGAATCACTGTCAACCTCCTTTCGGCTTTTTAGATCCGAACGAGGATAGCGAGGGCGGAGACGAAAAGAAACCAATCCCTCACATCTACCGATCAACCTGACTAATTTATCGCGTTTCGAGGTGTGATGGCTATAAATTGAGCATCGTTGTTGTGGAAGAAGTCCTAGGCTATCTATCAAATAATAGCTTCCCTGCTTTCAACTGTATCCTCCGCGACCCTCCGCCGCACGCAGACAAGAAATTCATCTTTACATGCAGATGAACCCCACATGTTCGATATTCGCGTACAGCGGGGCTCATACATATAAAACATAACACAATGCCAGCGCCCTCGAATCAGCGCGGAGACATTGACCCGCCCCCCGAAGTCATGCAAGAAGCTCTCAAGGGTTTCTTCACTGGTGCCGCTCGTGTACGTCTAAACCCGTTTAAATTTAAATAAAGGAACGGAAAGGAAAAGGGCAAGGACTTCAAATACCATCTCTTCTTCTGCTACATCAAAAAATAAATTAAAAAGGGAAAAATGTATCCAACCCCACAGTCAGGAAATAACCAAAGTAGAAGAAAATGAAGAAAAAAGAACTGCTAACAGACCCGGCTTCCCTCCAACACCCTCCAGTACGGTTCGATCTCTATCCTCGCGCACCTAATCCTCCTCCTTCCACACCCACTCCGTTTTGCCTCCTCTAATCCGCCTTCCAACACCTCCTCATCCCCAAGCTCTTCAATGTCTAGTTCCCATGGACACCCCGAACCCAAGCGCAGACCTACCCCACACACTCCCCTCCTCTACCGCCCCTTAACCTCCCTCTCCGCCAACCTCGCCCCAATCTCGCGCATTTACCGCGGCCTGACTCCACAGTTCAAGGTGTTTCTGCAGCTGAGCTCAATGACGCTGGGCGGTTGTATCTGGGCGGAGAAGAGGGTGAATGAGTATTTGGATGTTATGAGGAAGGTGAAACGGGCGGAGAGGCTGGAGGCGGAAGGTGGGAGGTAAATGCAAGCTGGGCGAAGCGGCGATGCCTCTTTCTGCGCATGTCTTGAATGTATCTGTATAAATACTTATTTGCTGATAACCACATCTTACCTCTCTCATGAGCCTGCTTCTGTGCGTTCTTCCATCCAAGCGAATGTTGTCATGTATGGGCTTCAGATTCCGAGGATATTATCGTGACGTCACCCTGCGATTGCCAGGATTTGTGACTTCAGGCTGTTGTCCTTGGGGACATGGGATCCTTGTTCCAGAAAGGTTTGCCAGTCGTAGAATGCGTCGGTTCAAAATTCAGCATTGTGATCTTGTGTTAACCAAATATCTCGCGAGGATCCCGTTCGATGATTTAGCGATAATGCACTGTACATGTACTGTACAGCACATGCCGCTCCCCTCCCCACCTTCAATCAAGTCAGGGCTAAGTTGCCACAACTCATCGGTCCACTTGCTAGAAACCCGTATTGATAGAAGGTGAGTTCCGCAAGAATTGGTCAATTCACGTTCTGTAGGCTTCCAACATTCGAGAAGGTCTCCACAACGGGATTAGGAACTACACCGCAGCTTTGGAGACGTCCACCACCGAATTGATACGGCGTCGTGTCGACCAGGAGTCTGCGCTTCTAAAGGGAAGCCTATTTTAGCGTCGTCAATTAACCACCAAGATTTGACCAATCGATGGGCCTGTTGGGGGACTGTTTCGCTAGTAAGGTTAAGAGTGTAGCAGTTTTCCAACTTTTGAAATCCATATTCCTCACATTCTTGGACTTTGCTTGATGAAATATTCAATGATGGCAGTCCAAAGGTCTCTGGAATAAATATGCCATCGCTCAACGTCATGGAAATGTTCAAGAGATCCTGTAGAAAATGATGCTCTGGTATTTCTTTAAAAATGGTCGTCAGACCGTCTTCTAATGAGGAATCATTCTGGAGGTTGTCAACGCTATTACGTAGAGATGTCATCCCATGAGGTTTCTGAGCATTGTTATAGGATCTGATCATGTCGGGCACACAGCTCACCACCGCGGCGGAAAACCACACCCGACGCCAATACTGATAGTGGTGGCCGTCGTTAGAACTCTCTGGGCATCAGATGAATAACATAATGGATGTTAAAGAGTTATCTCCGCTAAAGAATGTAGCCACCTCGCTAGTGGCCAACCCATACCTTGATATTTAGCAACCTAGGTCTATCAAGAACCTTTCGCTAAGCAAGCCATGTTTAACGCTGTTGCTGGCTTAGGGCTGGATTGGACCTAGGTACAGGTATCCAACTACGGAATAAGGTTGCTTAAGTTCCCATGGGCCGAACTCATAGCCCAACGGCAACGAAGGGAGCCGAGCTTCCGTTGGGAGCAATGGAGACTCTATTGCATATTAAGATGATGATTCACTCTCGATATCTTGCTGTTCGCTTGTCTGTGCTCTGTTTCTTCTTTATTGGGCTGCCGATTGCTATCATACATCTCTGTTTTTCACCATTCTTCGCGTGGATACGGTTTCATACTGTGGCGGATCTAAATATTGTGTTCTCTAGCACTCCATATTCATAAGAAAGGATCCTGTCCGACTATCTGTCTGCCATTTCTAAGTCGATCCGGCTGCCCGACCTAACCTCGCTGCAATCTGGTAGCCTGCTGTGCCATATATGGTCTCTCTGCCTGGATCATGGATACAACAGAATCACCGCTTCTAGAAAATTTCATCACCACACCCAAGCACAGCCTGGAAGCTGATCGGCCAATCTCACCCTCGTCAAACTCACTGGAGCCAATCGTCTTCTTTCCTAAAGGTATATACTCTTCCTCTTTGAAGGTCCGCGAGCGAAAGCAGGCCAGATCGCAAAGTTGTATATAGCTAACATAAAGAAATACATATAGCACGATGGCCAGATCCGAACCGGAACGCTGTGGCACGAATGAACCCGATCACTATTGCTCACCGCGGCGCCAAAGCCAAGTTCCCAGAGAATACTATGGGCGCGTTTATCCACGCCATCGATGTTGGTGCACAAGTCATTGAGACTGACCTGCACCTTTCCAGGGACGGGGAAATTGTTCTATCTCATGTATGCTGAGACATTTCTTTGTTATATAAATATACCTCCATGCATTCCTCGAAAAACTCGAATCAAGTGCTTTTATTTTCCGTTTTTGTTTCAAAATTCTAAAAACAAAAACCCCGATCATCAACATCAAGGATGCGACCCTCCAACGCTGCTTCGGTGTGAAAAAACGGATCATCGATTGTGATTGGCAATATCTCAGCACCCTACGGACGACAGGAGAACCTGTCGAATTCATGCCCCGCTTGGTTGATGTGCTGCGGTACGTTTCTGCTGCGCCTGAACGGAAAGACGTGTGGATTCTATTAGATATCAAGGTACACTTTGCCATTCGCCGCTGCATACATAGTTACACTTATATCCAATTTCCAACCGTTCATTCTTTGCCATGCCATGCACATCGTACTAATCTATACTACTTCCAAATAAAACAGCGTGACAACCATCCCGAAACCATCATGGACACTCTTGCAGACTTACTCCGCTCCACCCCTTCAGAACACAAGCCGTGGAACGAGAGGATAATCCTCGGCTGTTGGACAGTGAGTTCACCTTCGCTGATGAAATGAATAAATCAAACAGATATATATAATGTCTTATATATCTCGGATTTACAAAATAACAATAATCATCATCATCCATCAGACTAAATACCTTTCCCTCGCCCACCGCCTTTTCCCGGCCTACCCGGTCTCCCTAATCTCCTTCTCCCTCGCCTTCGCCCGCCAATTCCTGAAGGTCCCCCACATAATCTTCAACATGAATATGCACGCGCTCATGGGCCCTGGGGGTGCGCAATTCCTCGCCGACGCCAGGGAGGCGGGGCAGCAGGTCTTCGCGTGGACGGTGAATAGGGAGGAGTTTATGCGGTTGTGCATTCGGCGCGGGCTCGATGGGGTTGTCACGGATGAGGTGGAGTTGTGTCGGCGGACTTGCGACGGGGGGAAGGATGGGCCGTGTCGTTTGCTTGAGAATGGGGGAGATGATGATGGCGATGACGGGCTAACCGTGCTGCAACGCGCTGGTGTGCTGGTTAGGGCTGTGCTCTTGTACGCGGTAGGGAGCCTGTTTACCGCTGTTTATCGGGTGGATTTAGATCACTTTATTTATGGGTTGTATCATGATGGGAACGGAAAAGAATATAAATAGAGGCCTAGATTTTCCCCGTTTTTTGAATTGAGTTAGATGGAATTGTATGCTTGACAATGAATAAGGAGCATGGTAAATATGTGACCGCTATGTGCGTGTTGTCTTCAATGGACTTCTTTCCGTGTCGTATCATCTTAACAACTACAGCACCAGAAAACACAGGAGAAATATAGCCTAACATCTAGCCGCACAGATACACGATGTAACAAAAGAAACACGCCAGGTATACTTGCTCTTCCATTTCCAAAGCTAGAAAGGTAGGTTTTTTACAACAAAAAGAAAACGCAATCATTAACACCATTTACGTCAGAAATAAAAGGGACAAAAAAACCCAGGCAAGAAACGGAAAAAAAAAAAAAAAAAACAAAACAAAACGAGAAGTGATAGATCCAAATATGCACATGTACATGCAGATTTAAAGAGAAGAAAGGAAATACCAACTAAAATCATAACACAATAACAGGCAACATATCATCCCTTGTTCTCCCCCACCCAAAAATTTCCGTTTTTTGCGTTTGTTTTATTGGTGGGGAAAGACAACCTTAAGGGCTGTGGTAAAGACGATAATATGAATGTACAAGGAGATATCGTATCTACAGATCTTGTAGTTCGTGAGAGACCCAAATAAAAAGGGAAAAGTTCATGGTACAGTGAAGTGGGCCAGCCGAGGGGTTAGAGGTTAGGAAAAGCAATTTAGTATTCCAGACTTGGAGTCTGGCCCTTCACACGTCCGATGACGATGTGAGAGGCATATTTGGGGATGACCTCGTCGTCGTGAAGCATCTCAAATTCTAAAGTCAAAAGAGAAGGAAAGGTTGTTAGCACTTTCAAGCCATGATGAGTATCAAAGGGTGAGCATCGGTGCAGAAGACGTGACGCTTACCTTCCGTTGCATCCTTGCCCATATGGCTAAAGAGAGCCTGGGCCCCACCAGGGTGCTCATCGAGCCAATTAGAGACATCCATCACGACACCCTTAACAACGATCCATAGGTCATCTTTCTTGTTGTGCTTGGCAACCTCTTCCATTGTGAACTCCTTGTTAGGGACCTTGAAGTTCGCGATGTCCGCAGCACCGTCTGCGGCCTTGGCAGATGCAGCAGATGCAGTAGAAGGGCTTGTGGCCGCCACGGGAGCAGGAGAAGCTTGGACAGAAGCTGAGGCACCACTTACACCAGATGGAGTAGTCCATTCAACGGACACTTTGCCCGGCTGGGACGGATCGATGTGGAGGGATATTTGGTTTAGGCGAGATGAAGCGAGAGCTGAGGGGTTAGAGAGGAGTTCCTGGAAGAGGAATTGGCTGGCGGAGTCACCAGCAACACGCCCGTAAACGACACATCCCAAAAGAGAGGAACCACCAAGACGATTGGCACCATGGACACCACCAGCAAGCTCACCGCAGGCAAATAGACCCTCAAACGGTTTCTTTTCCGAGTTCAAAACCTGAGCCTTGTCGTTGATCTCAATTCCGCCCATTGTGAAGTGGAGAACGGGTTGCATAAGCGCAACATAGAAAGTATCATCAACACTCATAGGGCCATTGTGGAAGTATTTCTTCCCAAACGGATCCTTCTTCTTACCATCAGCAATCTGATTGTATTCGTCGAAGGTCTTCCTGAGAGCAGCTTCTCCGCAGCCAATTTCCTTAGCCAGCTCTTTGCCAGTCATCTTCTTCATCAGGCCACGGCCGGAATAGTGGCGAGTGTGGAAGTCAAGGACATTGGAAGCTTTGCTGTTAAGTATAAGGCGAATTGGCCACTTGCCCTTCTCCTTCTCTTTCCACATTTCGCCAGACACATAATCTCGGTGGCCCAGCTCATCAGCGAATCGCTGGCCATCAGAGTTGAGGAGGAGACCTCCCTCCCCACGAAGAGCTATTTACCAAACATTATTAGTCAACGTAGTACTTTTTGACGGGAAAATATATCAAACGTGGAGAATACCTTCGGCAGCCAAGAACTTCCACTTGGAGTCAGGATCCTTAGGATCAATGAGGCCAGTTGGGTGAACTTGGACCTTGTCCATATCAATACCATTAGCACCAATGGCCATGAGCATTTTCTGGCCATCACCTGTGGCATGGACACCGTTGGTGCTGGACAGATGGAAGGTGTCCGGTCTCCATTTTTTCAGGAGAGAATCTTCCGTGAAATCAGCAGCGTATCCACCAGTGGCCAAAACAACAACACCATCGGCCTTGTGGGTCTCGCCATTATATTCATAGGTGACGCCAGTGATCTTGTTTCCTTCCTTGTTGACTGCGGTGACACGGGCCTTCTTAAGCACCTGTACGCGGTTTGGCTCGCTTTCTGTGAGCTCCTCGAGGCGCTGCATCAGAGCATATGTGATAGCCATACCGGGGAATTTGGCATCATGGCCGCGATGGGTGCGGGGGAAGGAATGCCCTCTGGATAAATCAGCCAGCAATTAGCATTCCTAGAAATATCGTATTTTGAAAGGGGTATGATGCAGGAAGAGCAAGCATGGGACAAGTGATTAGATTTTAAAAACAGAAAGGAAGAAAGAACAAAGGATACGAACCCGAGTCGCGACACAAGAGTAAGATCAAGCTTGAAGATCTCTTGTAGCCAATGAATAGCGGAGGCAGAGTTGTAAGTAAGGACCTTGATTAGATCTGGGCGAGCCTTGTCTCTGGCAGATTTGAGAGTATCCTCATAGAACTGTTTCACACTATCCGCTATACCCAGATCGATCTGTGTCCGTGTGAGAGCACCATTGATGCCTGAAGTGGCCTTGGTGGAGTTGCCGCCAAAGAAGCCTATGAGAGGGAAAATATAGAGTCAGCTAGTTGCTTGTATCGTTTCTCAGGCTATGGCAGGGCAGCAACCAGGTGCAACCTGTGAAGGAGGGGGGGGGGGCTTTAGCTACTTTGCTTGTCAAGAACCAGGACATTGCCGCCATTCAGATAGACGGTGTGAGCCGCACTGAGGCCGGACACTATTCCATCACACAAATGTTAGCAGAGCCAACGGAGAGGAAGAATCTGGGGAAAGGGCACCAGCGTACATCCACCACCAACGACGATAACCCTAGGAGGCATGGCTGATGATAAGATAGCAACAGAGGAGGGGCGGATAAGGTGTGCTGTAGAGAAGGTGAAAGAAGATGCAGCAGATGCAGCAGATGAACAAGAAGACGAAAGAGGAGAAGATGAGAAGAAGCGAGGAAGTGAAGCAAGGAGGGAAAGAGAGAAAGAAAGAAAGAAAGAGAGCAAAAACGGCGGCGGGTTTGTTCGTCACAAGCTTCATCCCTTCCCAAGCTACAGACACAGACTCGGCCGAGGTATTGCATCCATTACATTGCGGGCTGTAAGTTACCCGGTATTCTATGACGAGATCGTTTCCAAGATAATCCGCAGCAGAGCAGGCAACTAGTCGATATATAGTTTAGCGTTCCCCTGCAGCCTCCTTTCCCCAGGCCAAGCTGGTCGCTCTGAGGACAAAGACAGCCAATCAATATCGCATGAATAAGCCTAGGTGCCCCCCAGGTAATCGACGAACAATACAGAACAGCGGGGAATAAGATTCAGCCATCGCTCGGAGGTCAGGGTACAAGCACATGATGATGTTTTTTCTCCCGTTGAGCTACGCCCATCCGGATGCATGGCAGCAATTCTCACAACTTTCCACGCTGTCGAAGACCGATCAGACGGGCCAAATCAATGCCAGATGGTGTTGACAAGGAGATGGGCACCATTGGGCTTTAGGAACTTCCCACCCTCTCTGATGAAACTACTCGGTTGAATGTGCCAAACCTGTTTGACAACGGGTTTTTTTTTAATACTTTGTTTTTCTTCATACTGAGATTCGTCGTACATAATCTAACGGTTCGATTACCGGGATGGGATGGCTGTGGGCCATACTTCCATCTGTCAGGCCTGGATGCTAGTTTCTTGCTTGGGCAGCTGGCCCCAAAATGACATTTCAGCCTTGGTTCCTCGAGGCTGCAAAATAGAGCTCTGCTCCTTGTACGGAACTTAAATTCAGGTGTCAATTTTGAAGGTGGTTATATATTCGGGGTTTCGTTACTGACGTTGAAAAGACTGGTACTTACAATGGCATCGAACTATGGAGCGCGGAAGGGCTTGGATATGATATGTTGATAATGGATGGGGGATGGAAGATCATACAAGAGATTTGCTAACATCACGTATGGTAGTAGACGTGTGATGCTTTATCTTACTTAAATACCTAATCCCCGCAGCGAATGAAAGCACGTACTGCACATAGGCTGCGTACATTAAGTTCTTCAAACCCAATCGGGAAATATTAGCTTCGTGAGCTCTATTGGGAGCAAGTGCAAAACAAAAGCGTGTAACATTATACCACAACCCCATGCTGAGCCGGGCAATCATCGTCCCTTTGTACCACCCCATTCGACGACAGGGAGTAATCAGCATCCCTCCTCCGCCGCCGCCGCACGCAGTGAACGGCGGACACTCACGCAAATATATCATTTATTTATATTCAAGCCCCCATTTGCTTTGGGGCATATCTGGTGACATGTAGCCAGAGGCTGCGAGGTTGGAAAACCAAAGTGGATAGATAGATACATACTCCGCTAACTAGTTATCAGAGCTCCTGGATGATGTCATACAATGTGAAATAGTCAAATAGCTAGTCATGTGCATGGATTGTCAGTCCCTTGGTAGCCCGAGAGATGCGCTGAGAGACGCCACAAACCATTGGTTTCTCCAATTAGGGTTGGCCTTCGGTTGTTCAAAGAGATCATTCATTGCCTAGGGAGAATTACAGGAGAACATCAGAGAGTGGTGCATCTGTATATCTCATTGCTAGGTGCTATTTACATGAAGCATATACGAGCTAGCTTAGCTACATTTATAGAAACATTTTGTTCTGTGCAAAATGTCATTCTCAAATATGATGGAAGTTAGACGGAACGAGAAAGCCAAAAATAAACATAAAAAATAAAAATAAAAATAAAAATTGAATAAAAAGTTGTTGGACAACGCTGGATTAAAACATCCGGAATAAAGGAGAGAAAAACGAAGGGGGAAAACCACCCAACTTATTTGGCATACTTCTGATGGAACGCCTTCACCTTCTCGATTTCGTCGTAGCTGCCCAAGAAGACGCCACTGCGGTCATGGATATGCTCTGGGGAGAGAGAAAGCAATCTTTCCATCTTCGAATTAAGCGCCTGGCCTCCCGCGTTCTCAAACACCAAGGCCATAGGCGCACATTCGTACAGGATACGCAGTTTGCCCTTGGGACTCTTCTTGTCGGCGGGGTATGCAAAGACACCTCCGTACAGCAGTGTCCGGTACGCATCAGCAACCATGCTGCCGATGTATCGGGAACTGTACGGTTTGCCGTCAGCCGGGTATTTCAGGTCCTTGAAGTACTCGAGCACCCAGTCATCCCAGTACAAGGAGTTTCCTTCATTGACACTGTAGATCGCGCGCTTGGCGGGGAGACGCATGTCGGGGTGGGTCAGGATGAACTCGCCCAGAGATGAACTCGCCCAGAGAGCATCCATTGTGAAGCCATTGACCGTGCCGCCCTTCATGGTAATGACGAGCTGAGCCGAGGCGCCGTACATGGTGAAGCCGGAGGCAACGAGTTCAGTGCCGGGACGGAGGACATCCTTGGCCGTGACGGTGTTGTTGGGGCCCAGAACCTCGTCTGGGAGCATGAAGATGCCGAAAATGGTACCGACGGACACACCCGCATCGAGGTTGGAGGAGCCATCAATCGGGTCGCAGACAACAGCATATCGCGCATCGGGGCTCTCGTTGAAAATGATGGCTTCCTCCTCCTCTTCAGAGACAAGGATGCGGCACTTGCCTGATCCGCGCATGGCCGCGATGAACAAGTCGTTTCCGATGACGTCCAGCTTCTTCTGGTCGTCGCCGGTAGTATTAGAGGAACCTGCTAGGCCGGTGAGGTTGATCAAAGTGGCGCGTCGGATGTAGTACGAGATGGATTTGAAGGAGAACTGGAGCGCATGGCAAAGAAGGCTGTGAAAAAAGGTCATTCACTAAGTTAGAACTAAATCGCAAATCCAGGGAGAGTTTAATCTGATTTAGCTATCCTGACAAGAGGCGGAATGTATCAACTTACGTGAAGTCGCCCGTTGCTTCAGGGTGTTTCGATTGCTCCTCTGTCAGGAAGCGTGTGAGAGAGATGATGTCCGTGTTGATCTTTTCCTGGCCCACGGGCGGATTAGAGGAGCCGTTTGCAGCGGCCATATTGACGAATTTCTTTCCGGTATATTCTGGGCGGACGAAGAGAGGTCGGGAAGCGAGAAGGAGCTTGGTGATAGCTTTTCTTTGTCTAAAAAGATCTATAGCATCTGTTGGAAGAATAGAACACAGACACACACACACATACACAAGTATTGAGACTGAGAGGGGGCGAAGGGATAAGAGACAATAATTCGAAGAACGAACGTAACCAAATTTAACTGTCTGTGGGAATGGATGGAATAGAGAAGAGTGTTATGCCCGGGTAAATGGAGGAGGGGAAAGGAGAATCGCAACCAACTGGAAAAGTTGGATGATGTAGTAGAGAATAAAGGCCAAAGGGCAAAGCAGACAGACTTCGGAGCAGCGTCAGATGGTCAATTGACATCTAGTTATTATTGTTATCCTGGCGTAGTTAGTTGCCTCCTTTATATACAGATGGAGACGGCCGCCGAGGTTTCATGTAGCGCGGAAAACCCAGGCAAACGGTCCCCAGCAAAAACCCAGTCCGTACCGTGGACAACCGGACTCCCACACCACACCACACGAAACCAGGAGAACAGAGACAGACACAGGGACCGCATCTGCTTCCTTCTACGATGTAGGTATTGTTGTAGCCTGTGCTGTGGTGCACCCCACCGGTGTATTGACCTCACTACTCAATAATACTTTGCTGGCCATTCCTCATCGTGATACAATTCAGGACCCCGCCATGATGATGAGCCTGGTGCATCTGCGATGGTTCCAACGGGAACGTCCACTCTAGCTCATCCGGGTTATTTTCGGAGCTTGTCCCGCCGGCTATCCCCACCAGCGGCCGGTTTTGAGTTCATGATGAAAGCAAATCTTGGAAATTAATCATCATATTGTCAGCAACCGACGAAAAGGTTGAACCGCGGTGGTAGTGATGGTGGTCAGTTAAATTGATGATAATTGCGAAACGGCCAGGCTCAGGAAGGGGAAATGGGATAATAGTCATTGATTTGAAGAGAATGCCGCCCAATGTATGAGGGGTGAACGTCGCTCTATGTGGATGAGTTGACGCTGTGCTCAAGCTTGCCCCTCACTTGAATGCTCAGGGACCGTTTTGTTTTGCTCCTGGAGCTGGTTGACCGCTACTAGCTACAGTGGTAGCGGAAAGTGACTTGAAATTACATAACTACACTGACTTCTAATTCAGCAGTTAGTTAGTTAATACTACGTGATAATTAATACTTGATCCGCGGATATTGGGGGAAATCAATGAAGCTTTTCAAATGCTGGGAGGTGAGAATTACCAGACAAGCAAACAGTGCAAACCTCCAGGGGCCAGTGGTAGTTAAACTGTATCAGGAAAGGCGTCTCGGTAAGCGGCGCTATTGAAAAGCTCGAATTTTTTATTTTCTCTCAGCTTCTCTCCCAACATCAACCGTGATCACAACCGATGCTTCACCTACAATTGGGCATGGAGAATCCATATGTCTCTGCTAAAGCTGTGCATGTGCTTCTTCGGCGCTTGTCGTGCGTTGTAATTACTTACCACATACCTGGTATGTTTCCCTCTGGTCATCAAGCCTGTTTTTGTCTTCCCTTTTGGTGATGATCAAGCACAACCGCATAAACTAGAGTCTTTGACCCCTTTAGGGGTGTGAAACTGCTTTGCATGTCAGACTGATATATTATATTTATTTTCCTTTCTTCCTTGAGATTACGGCTCTACTATTGTTTTGGAGAGCTTTCAGGCTGACCTTGGAACAGGATCAACAGCGCGTTGACCACGCACCCATCGCATCTGGAATCACAATGGTACGCTCTTTCTCCTGTCCAGATCGCACTCAAATCGCTCTCTTATGATGATCATTTATTGTATAATATACGCTGGAAATTACCGGCCGAGACCTTCGGGTTTTTGACGATACAAAATGGCTATTACTGATTCAACAAACTCTTTTACTTTTCCTCAATATATATCGAAATTCGATGACATCCGCTAACCTGTCAACTTGACAATAGATGAGCTTGTGGGGCCTCTGGTCCCAGAAGGCAATAGTTTCCGCTGACCCTAGTGGAAGCTACGAGCTCCATCCCGTATGAGCCCTAGCCACATTTTCCTTTGTTCCCACCACTTTTACTTTCCAGGATGAATGGCACTGGGCTCCGACGGTGTTGATATCACAACCCGGTTATGATGGACATGCCCTTTGTGGCAGGCCTAGAAAACCTCGCCCACTGATTCTGCAATTCCATTATCTATTTTCCGCTATGAACACCTCGATATCTAGCTTCATTTCTAATGCTTCTCTCAACATTGCAGAACCGGTGAGTATAATGTAAATATGGCTAGAAATCTAGACGTGTTAGGTGTGTACGCGAACATTTCAAGTTTTGCTTCCTATCCGTATCCATTCTATGATGATTCCCTAGATGACGAGTCTTATTCGAGTTTTCGATGCAGACAATTTTCTCTTTTTTAATACCATTCATGCTTTTCTGAAAATAATCTGTCCATTTGAATAAAATATCCAATTTCCTTAATGGGTCTCCCACTAACTCTCTCTTGACGCAGGCGCCTGCTGGACTGGCGACAAGGCGTGTTTTTAGCCCCACCACTGACCGTACGTCGCATCAACCGCAACTCTCCCTACATCCTCATGATGATACATGACATCAAATAGACAAGCATATGTCCAAGTCGGCTTCTGTTGACGAAGACGATACCGTCTCATACCTGATTTGATTTGACTACGTTCAGCCATTATGTGAAGAAAACTACTGTTCCGACACTAACTCTGAGCAAGACACACTACAGTTGGGTAGTTTCAGCTTGGGTAAGAGTCTTCTGCAATGTAGGTGTGTAATTCTACTTACCTTCTGTTTCCATTTATCTGCCCTCCCCCCAACTATTTCATGATGATTCTTCACAATTTTATCACGACGGTCAACATAGTCTATACATTGATGATCACCGCCTTTGACAGGGCAAAATTATATCTGATACACTTTTGCCTCCTCTTCTTCTATGACTGCGTTTCCTCGCCTTTCCTCTGGAAAACAAGCAGCTAATATCTTCGCTTAGATATTGCGTCATGCGATTACATCGTTCTGGGATTTTCTTCCTAGTGGTGATGTCTTGCGATTTTGAACCGCACGAAGCGGCCTTAATGTTATGAGCACATATGAGATGCAGAATTATGAATGAATGGAGAGAGGAAAGGGGGATTGAGGGAGATTGCATATCGATTTTGAAGAGTCAACGATGAATTGATTTGGCTTGATTCATTCATTTTTTGGGTGCCGTGAGGGCTTCGGCGGGAAAGCAGGAACAATCAACTAACAATCGTTAGACGAACCTGCACGTAGTAATAATAAAATTATTACAAGAGCCTCGGATTATCATTAATACTGATTATTTATTTATTTATTTATTTGTTTTTTTTTGCTAATATTCAACGATCGTGTGAAACAAGCATCCCTCGTAGTGGCCCAACTACATGGAGTGTACCCAGCTGACTCTCAATACTTCTTCCCTTCTCAATTGCCTGGGGGAATATGTGTATACTATAATGCGGAATTAGCCCCGCTATCGCCCCAAATCCATCTTTGCTTCACGGGGCTAGCCCGGAGACCATTTGAGGTTGTCATCTCCAATATGGCTGGCTGGTCCCTCAACTTACCTTGGATTTATTTCACCCCTCTCGCAATGGGGAACCATTCCTTGTCATCTGTGTTGAGTCTTCCATTAAATTTATTTCACATCTTGATAAAGAGAGAGGTATATATACAGCGCTTGCGAACACGGTTCCAGTTGGGCTTAAACGAGATCCCGACAAATGCCACACGGCTCGAACGCATGCAAGAGGATACGCAGTCCTGCGAGTTGGGCATGCCGCTCGCAAGATATTCACGAATGCGCTTCAGCACCCCAAGGCAATTATGAACTGGAACCCACCTCTCATTTTCGGTTTGTAACGATACGAGGAGGATTTCCCAAATCCATCCATTGCGTGATCGTCGCAGTGTGAAAACTGAATTCCGTAAGCAACTTCCGTTGCAGAGGTGTATGTGTTGCTCCGATGAAGGCAGCGGTATGTCGAAGTCTGCAGTCAACGACGCAAAAAAAAGCCCATTCCGTTTTCCGTTCAAAGGGAAATTTCTCTTCTCTAATGGAGCGACGCACGGAGACGTGCTAAGAGCCTTGCTGCACGTAGTAAGATTGATGAAATATCCAACTGTAGGCCGGGCGTAAACGTGGTCCTAACGGGAAGCAATAACATTGCGCTTTAGTTAGGCATGCTGTGGGGTCGAATAGTTCCCCTAAACAGGGCCCTTGCTGATTGCCAAATTCTTTAGGAATCTTGGAGGGAGAAATTATCATTAACGTCCTCCTGAAGCTTGGTTGAAGGGATCTTAAAGTTTCTGCCTCTTCATAGGCTACGCTTGCGGTAACTACCTCGTACAACAGATGATGGATATAGACAGGGTAGTTATTTACAAAAACCCCAAAGTTACTAATATTCACGCCCGCCAATCATCGAAATGTGGAAAATTCGGTGTTGGCCACTTGAAATCCCGCCTGGATGGGTTCTTCAGGGCGGGAGAGGTTATTTCGCCCCCTCACTGGAACCTCAACTGGCATTTTTGCTGCGAACAAAGGCGAATTCACAGACGGATTCCCAGCAGAACGGTCCAACCTACATAGTACGCAGCTGGACCCGACAGTCAGGTTCGTAGGGCGGCTGGTGAACCATTCTTTGGGGTCTGGCAAATGCTCCGTCCCAGCAGATGGGGTCAACTATACCAGGTCCAACAATAACGATACTAAAAGAGGTCGTCTCTGAATAGGCGGTATGCGATCCTGAGGTACTTTCACGCATCCGCGTGGGGGGAAATCATGGCTTACTCCAATCACAAGTACAGTATACAGCCCGACCGCTAGGTGATAGGTCAATAGCAGTCCAAGACTGAGACGCCGCCCGTTCAAAACGGCTCAGCCATCTCGCTGGCTCAAGAGCCCGATGGTGCATCCTTGTCTCGACGGCCCGGATACTTTGGATACCACTATTCATGGAGGAGTCTCGGCATCATCCTTCAGTCGCTGAACAGGCGTTCACCGCGACATGGGTGGTGTACACTGAGTTGTGGCTGTTCGTCCAAAACTTACTATCCAACTCTAAACAGACGCAGCCTTGGGTGGTTCCATGAACCGCCCAGTCCATGATCAATCCAGCCGGGCAAGAAGAGGGTGAAATCCTGGGGGAACCAAGTAAATTTTACCCTTTTTTCGTCGTCATAAGCTCTCTTCAGAAACCTATCTCTCTGGGCCCCTCAACCCTGCCCTAGTGAAGGAATTCAAGGATGTCAGATTACGCAAATCAAAGTCTCCACAGCCATTTGCATGCTTATTCGTCCCGTTGCCCTCCCGTGCTCTTTGCTTTTTCCCATTTTCGAAAAGGTGGCGCCCCTCGCTTGGGACGGATGGGTTTGGAGGGGCAGGCGTGGATGCGGCAACATGGCCGCAGATATATAAACATTTTCTGGGTCGATCAACTTTTGATAGGGAAGGTCATTCCCGTTCATACAGCACGAGTTGTGCAGAGGCTGCATATGATACGTATAGCCCGCTCAAGCGCCCGTTTTATGGCGTCGCATTCCTCCGGCAAAGTGTACATGAAATGAAAACTCGTGGGTTTTAAAATGCTGCACCCCCAGCAGGTATCTTATATCCCGATCACTTGTTCTGCACCCTGCAAATGGCTGGTGGGCGACCCGGATATAAATTTATATATTGATTAAAGTACTCCGATTACACATTGGGCTAATCCCCTCTCTTCTTAGCACTAGTCATATCCTGTCACTTCAATTGATATGAAAGCAAAATACGCAACAACAAGCCTGGGTACTTCAATAATACGCCGTACATGCAAAACAGACTAGGATCTACATTTCAACGAAGTCCGATCCGCTTTCATTGAATGCTCTCGGTCCCTTTCTACGGAGGCGGACGAAAATTATAAAATATCGCATTTCGCAAAGGCAAATTCATATACGGAGTTCAAAACCGGCTTCCCACGCTGCTTCTAATTCGATTCTTTTGCCCAACTGTTTCCCCTGCGACACTTTGAATGGTGAAAGTAATGCGTTCTGATAGGCAATAAGCCATTGGCTCTTCTCCACGGCGCAGTGACTTGACCGCCGGCATTAGCTGTTCTGAGACGTTCAGCATATAAGCTTGCGCCTTTTTCCCTCCCTGGATACAAAACGGATAAAACTGTTCAAAGACATTCCTGGCGGATGTCTCTGCACGACATCCCATCTCCGCGGTCAGAGGTTGCATGGTTTTCGGACAACTGCCTCCAATGAATCCGACAATAGGGGGCTCGCCCAAGCCCAGTGCTGATAGTCCGAGACATCATCAGTACCGGCGTCATTCGCTGCGAAAGGCGCCTTTGGAACGACTCCCGATCGAGTTGATCCAAAAAATATTTTTTGAATGTTTAGAAATTAATCTCCCTCGCGCGTCTCTCCCCATCGCCCACGCTTTGTCCAACGACGTCATCCATACCTGGCTCATCCGCCTAGCATTCAGCAGCAACAATGAGTCTGCCCGAACTGGCTTCTTCACAAAACCTTACCTTCCACTCGACTACTTCTCTCTCTCTAATTCGCAACGCGCTTCTCTTCAAACCGAAATTCTCAAATGCCGGTGGTGCACCTTATCTCTCATGCGCAAATGTCAGCGGGAGCACGTAGAACATGTTATCCGCCAAAAGTGCAAAGACCTTATAATATCCTGCGCCGATCGCCTGAAATTGGAAAATCTCAAGCCCTACTGGCAGTCCATGGACCGCTTCGACCCCAGGCCCCCTGGGAGCCGGGGTAGTGGTGATCTCACTGTCGAGGGCCGACTACCGCTAGCACCACCCAAACACAAACTGATACAGCCGGAGAACAACCACTCAACATCATCTATATTCACGTCTCTAACGCCAACACCCACACCTATCACTAACGCCAGCGTGAGCATTAGCGCGGGTGCTACAATACCCCGCACCACGCACGGAGAATCGCGTAAAGTAGCCATCTGGTTCAACTTCGGTTCCGTCCAGATCCGCGAACGCAGTCCCATCTTCCAAGAGACAGATGTCTTCCGTCTCCCCTCATGCAGTATCCGTGAACCCTGCCGGATGCCTGATCACCTCCTGCGCCCACCCTGGACGCCCGAGAAACTGGAATTCCTCACCCTGCTATCTACAGAAGCATACATCGACGAAGACGAACGACGCGAGCGTTCCAAGGCTGTGTTACGATGGGTGATTGATGCGCGTGACCTAGAGACCTTCAAGCACATGCTAGGCATGCACATCCGTGCTAAGAATTATGGATATGCGTTTCCGTGGCCGGCTCGCCGGACGCATTATCACGCAGCTGCTAGAAATGCGGGCTCGTCGGACGATGATCCATTCTTGAGGATTTTGTTCACAGATCGCAAGGGGGAGGTTCCGGCTGACCACAATATCAAAGCCCTCATGGCGAGGTATGAACATAGGGAGAGGAAAAGGGAAATCTTTGGAAGCTAAATTTTACTCAAGTCGCAGTTAACTAATGTGGGTTGGTTTAGGGTTGGTTTGGTTTTTTTTTTTTTTTTTTTTTTTTTTTTCCTCTTTCCTTTCTCATTTACAGCCGAGGGATTTCTCCTGTCGTTCCAACGATGAAATTTTACGATTCTGCAATGATAAATTGATGTAGAAGTTAAAGCTAAAAGTGTTTTTTATCAAATGGATGGGAGTGGGATGATATCGCCTCCTTTTGGAGAAGCTCATGTTATATATCTATCATATATATCTAAATAAATGTCTTTCCTTGTCTTTTCTTTTCGTTTCTCCCCTTTTTCATTTCTTGTTCTTTTTTGCATCGCGAAGATATACTAGTAGTTAGTGAATCAGTATAAAAAGCTAACCAGCTGGCTTGGATGAAATTGAAGTCGATAAAAAAATCATTCGCAGTGCTGCGTACATGGCAAGCGAAAATACGAGCCACCCCTTGAGGAATGTATGAAATACTAGTACTTGTACATACGTATACGTATGTGTACGGAGGACATGCAGGATAATAACGCATCTGTTGCATCTCGTCATTGGCTCCCTTAAAACGCTGTTGAGAGCTTGCGGCTGGGTATATCAAAGAGGTCTCGGCCTGGCTGGTGGGTGGCCCGGGATTTTTATTGATGCTGCAAGGGCGGCTGGGTTCTGGTTCTGGCTGCATGGCGAGGCTTGGAAACAGGTACAGATACGTAAAACACCATACATAAATAAATAAAACAAAGATGAAAATTAGAGGAATAGGCAGATTTTCTATTTTCGGCTGAAAATACTAGTATGTAAAAATTCTAGGGAATGGGCTAAGGAACATCGCTAGTTGATGGGACACAGCATGACGCGCGACTGGCAGCTAAGTTTGTGTGGTATCGTCACAGAACATTGGGCCACACCGTTGCGGTTAACAGGCGGCCGAGGCTCAGAATTCAAATCTTAATGTGGATCTATTGTACACGTACATTTTGCTCCATCCTGTATTCTTCGATGCAGTGTTGATGCAGATGAGCAGGGCTAGGAAAAAGCCGGACTCGATCATGATCGGAGACCATTTTCTCATCTAGAATTGATACTCATCCCCGACTTTTATACACGACATCTTTTTAATGCTCTTGAAAGTCTGCACTCTTAAATCCAATATTTTAGATCAGTTTTTGTTGAGAACTGAAATGACTTGTGCATGTATGTTTGAAAGAGAAAGATTATGCTGTGACCACGATCATTTTTTATTTCATAACCATGTCATGAGCGACCGGAGTTTAGTAGTGCTCACTAAATAAGATTGTTTTGACCTGCATATCTTTCAAAATCGGCCCACCAAATGGAGCATCCTGGATCATTTGGATAATCACGTCCGCTACGGCGGCGACGTGAATCCCAGCCTCCTGTGAAAAGCGTGACTCCACACTGCCTTCGAGATGGCACTTCAATGAGATAGCCCAGGAGCCATCGACCGAACCCATGATTCGCTTGCCTCAACGCCCACGCTGTAATGTCCGGGTCATCATACGGTATCGACTCCGCGTGGGCACGGAGCAGAATCTGAAGAAGGCCTGGGTTCTCGGATCGGTTTACGGCAGCTATGAAATGTTCACCGCGTATCTCATACCTGAAAATGTCACCTCCATTAAGAGCCTGATATGCCCTTTCATCGCAAGCAAGTAATTCACAAAGCATCCAAATATTTTCCTCCATGATGGCGATGTGAATGCATTCCTGTATTCTCTCTCGTGAGATGTCTAACGACGATAGACTGGGGTAAAACGCTTCCAGCCTATCTGGAAGGAGACCATAGGGAGAAGCCGTGAGGAGGTGATGTAGAAGACAGAATTTTTCCTCTGTCCACGGCTGTTTTGCAAAGAATTTGTCGGGAATTGTCCAAACAGCCATTGGTAAATAGTGCGTAGTCCCGAGTCGGCTATGAGTAAAAGAGACCGTTGAAGGGCAAATATTCAAAACACATTGATTATTGTGTTTGTCAGTTCCTCGAAAGTTCATGCTCCAGTGCGTTGGGTTCTCATCAAGGCTTTGATTCAAAACATCTCTTGCCGCGGAATCCAACACCATCGACTGTCCAAGTGGTGAGGGACCAAATATGCACGTCTGCAATATTGTGGAAAACATATCACGCTGGCATTCTTTGAGAAGAGGTAGATTGAACCACCGACAACCAATGACATCATTCTGGAGCGCCTTTTGTGTATCAAAGTCCAAAGGAACGTATTTCAGGGGCCGGAGGATGTTTGAGAGATATCCGGGAGGTACGTTATCTCTCCCAGGTCTATAATCATTGAAGAAGGCAAGAAAAGTTAAGATTTTGTAGATTCGCTTCCTGGAGAGTATGGCTCCAAAATGTGGTGATGCCCGTGCTAAATTGAGCTCTAGTGAATCAAGGAAGATTTTCTCGATCAATTCTGCTGGGAGCGCTTCAAGGTGGCTGCTCTTCGAACCCCCACACTTATTCCTTTTGTCATTGTGGGAGCTGGTATTTTCCCGCAACTTTCCATTGGCTGGTTTAGCGGGAAGGTGGCCTGCCTGATATTCATTACCAGCATGCGTGCGTCCTTTTCGTGCCACCTTTTTGTCCGGAAAGAGTGGCTTCTTATGTCGCTTACCCCTGACCCTTATCGGAGTCAGGCTATCGTCAGTCATTCAATTTATTCCCGGTTGATTCGATTAACATGTATAGAAATTCAAACTTCTATAGGGAATCTACCAACCCTGTCAGGCGTTCTTCACCTTCACAGAACCGAAACAAAGCACGAAGATAAAAATATGTCGAGTTTGTTCACGGGGGTAGTTCTGCCTGAGCACACCGCCTTCGCTTAGCGCTCTCAAAATGGAATTTCCCAAAAAAATAACAGTGATGTCAGCGTGACGTCATAATTGAATTTTAACCTGAGGTTAGCTTGATGTTTCCTATTTGGGATAAACATCATCAAGGGACCCGACGTCAGCGTAGTTCTTTGCGCCCGGGTTCTCTATGGCAAAATAGGTATTGGCAGTTTAATTCTAGCCCCTTAGGGGGACGTATGACGATGACTGTTGTCGTGGTTGACCTCAATCCTGCAAGGGTTTATCCCTAGAAATAGTGTAAGAAACGACATCATAAGTTCAGGTAGCTTCTGAAAAATCATGGTTTTGATCAGAAGAATCCGTATATATACTGAAGTAGACTTCCACTATCTCAGGTCCGGAGGAACTATCGAATATTCTACATTTATATCTCCAACTTAATATCCCATAACCTACTTCGCTCTGGCCTACTGATAGTACGCAAAATAGTAGAGGAGATTGACTTCTAAATTTATATTTCATTAGCGCATCCTCTCCGAAGAGACGAAAAGAAGAAAAACCTACAAGAACCATCATATCTTCACGATGGGCGCTGTTGTTTCTTGCGTAAGTGAATCCTCCCTGACTCGCCACGCAACAACGGGGTTCCAATAATGTCTAACGCGGATCTTCCTGGTAAATAGATCCAAGGTGTTCTGGGATCCATAGGGGCTTGTCTCATGGCTATCACCAGTACCATTGGGGCTATTCTAACCTCCATCGTCAGCGGAATTGTGTCCATATTCAACGCTATAATCTCTTGTCTGACCTGCGGCGGCTGCTCCAGGCGGAGAAGGGGCGCCCTGACAACGCATACCACCGGTAGACGCCGGCACGGATTAACGAGGACGAGGGTTTAGAGTGAGGTTCTTTTGTCTAAGAGGAGTGGAGTTGAGCCGGAGGTGGGAGGGCCGTACGGGCTGACGGAAATAGTTCATTCAATATTGATGATTAAATGCACCATTCCATTCGGGCCACCTTGGCATGCATTGACGAAGCAACGACTGTTTTTGGCTTTGCAAGTGTTGAGAGAACACTGTAGGGTTGGTATCGTTGTGATTATTGAGGAACTGCGATGAGGTCTTTGCGTGCTTGAGTACCCGGTGTTTGATTTTGCGCACCATTCCGTGTCCCGCGTTATGTCCCATTTCCACCCCATGCATTGCTTTAATAAGACCTTTTGTATTGTCAAGAAAATAATTTCTGACAATCAATATCTGAATGAAATTAATCCCAATTAATTGGGTTGTATTAGTTATTAAAATGCGGCTTTAAAAAACATTACCATTGGCATTGAACAGCGCAATGCAGCATTCTAGCCTTCGAAGGCGTAGAACTAAATGTCTTGGATCACTTCGCTGATCATCATAGATTCTTCAAAATTTTCCCCACACCCTTCACCTTACCCACAAGGGAAGGTTGATACCCTGTCTCTACAATCCCTTTGCACATTTCCCACGCTCCCCGTCCATCTTTTTTCAACCCATCCCCTTTTTGAATAGGGTAATCGAGAGGCGGTGGTATATGTGTCTGAATTGAAGGATACCGATCTTCACAAATAGCTTTCATATTGCACAAACTTTTCAACCCTTCTGCTCCGCCAAATCGACCATATCCACTGCCTTTCACTCCGCCAAATGGTAGCCCCACAGCATAGTACGTGCCAAAGTCGTTCACAGAAACCATCCCGGCGTTGATTTGCGAAACGCATTTCTCGACGTCCTTTCGATTGTGCCCAAAAACGCTCGCTCCTAGACCAAACTCTGTGGAATTTGCGATTCTGATGGCATCGGGAACGTCTTTTGCCGGCATGAGGAGGAAGACAGGTGCAAAAAGCTCGGTGCTTGCGATCCGCATGGTAGTGTCCACGTTGGCTAGAAGCGTAGGTGTGAAATAATGCCCAAGAGGGTGTTTTGGGTGTTTATAGCGTTTGCCGCCGTGGATGAGACGCGCGCCTTGTTCGACCGCCTCGGCGATCAAAGTTTCCAACTTGTCGAATGTTCCCTGAGAGACCATGGCTCCCATGTCAGGAGTTGAGAGTCCTCGCCCAGGGTTCTTTGAACATTCCCTCAATTCAAAGAGCACGGATCCGAGACGGAGTGCTTTTATTCTAGGGGTTATCGCTTCCAAGATTTTGTCGTGGGTTCCTGGGAGTGCGATGACGCGCTCAATTCCAACACAATTTTGGCCAGCGGATTGAAAGACGCCCCGCATGAGGATAGAGGTAATACTAGCAATGTCCTTGACGGTGGCTGGATCGTCGAGAATGACAGCCGGATCTTTTCCACCGAGCTCCACCGTGACAGGAGTGAGTGACTTGGCAGCTGAGTTGCAGACATGGTGCGCAACCTGTCGGGAGCCAATGAAAATGATATGGTTCACGCCACGATGAGATGTCAAACTATCTGCTTCCTTGGGAAGACAAACGACGGTCTGAACTAGATCTTCCGGATGTCCACAACTTGCCAACGCTCCTCGTATGACATCGCAAAAGTAGAGGGAACTCCAGGCTGTATGTTCGGAGGGTTTAATGATGATAGAATTTCCAGCAAATATGGAACTGATAACCGGAGAGATTAAGTTGTGAAATGGGTAGTTCCACGATATGCAGGCGAGGATGACTCCAAGAGGCTCATAACGGACAGTGTTCTTCTTGTATATCATAAGTAGATTTGTCGGGCGACGGTCAGTCGCGAGGGATTTTTCTCCATGGTCAATAGTCCACTTCAGCTTCTCGACCGTAACCAAGACCTCGCCAAATGCGGCATCAACTTTTGTTTTTCCGGAGTCCAGACAAGATGCGGAAACGATTTCATCCTGATGTTCAAGAAGATATCTGCAAAGTGGCACAAATCATTAGTTGCTGAAAAAAATATGGCTGTAAAGTACAGTGGTTGGGACTCGCATGCGCACTTTAACAGTGTTTTTAATACTCTCCTCCTCTCAGCAAAAGTTGTATGCTGCCATACCAACTGGGCAGCTTCCGCTCGTTTGACGGCGATATCGATATCCTGTTTCGTTGCTGGTTTAATTCCATGATTTACATCTCCGAGAATACGACCATCAGCTGGGCAATAACTAAGGATTTTCTCATTGTTCCATTTCTAGATTGAATAGAAAATATATTAGTGATACTAATAAGTCCGTCCACACATCCGGTTTTCAAGAAAGTTATTTTTGGAATAGTACTTCTATTTCAGCAGGGCAAAACTTACCCCGTTTGCCTGACACTCCAAAATATCTCTATCCTTTTCACTAACATCATCCCACGTCTTTGGGTCCCATTTATCCGATAGCTCAGGGGGGATTGGCACTTGATACTCAACGGGGCAGGCTTCGCTTCTGAACACGACCTGCTTGAGCGTCCAAACGGCAAGAAGAGCTCCAAGCAGCGCAGTGAGCAATTGGCTCGGTGTGCAGTCGCTATACAGGTCGAAGAGGGACTGAAGTGTATCCATCGCCCTTCCGCGTATTCCAACCAGGTGGATGAGTTGCGGAAACCCAGACCGGATGCACGTCTCGGGTTTTTCCCTGGGGTAAAAACCCCTGTATTAACGTTATCTGGTTTAGCGTTACCGTGCGTCAGGAAGTTGGCTGCGAATACTGTACATACATAATAAAGGAGAATAAAAGAGCAGTACACCAGCATACAAAGTGAGGAATAGTAACTAGTCAATATGATAATGAGATGATGGAAACAAAAGAATGTCGAATTTGAACGCGCAATATAGCAGTAGGTACTGGTATTTAATATAAAGTCACGACGCTGCGTAGAAATGACTGAGCTGCTGTAAGAGCCGGCTTGCTCTGCTGAACATTGCATACATCCTTGCCCTTGTTATATTTCTGGTTTTTAAACTCCACGTCCATAGATGCTTCAATACCACCAGTAGTATTTAAATATATTGCCGTTTGTTGGTAGAAATAACTGTGATAAGTGTTCAATGTCGATTTTTGCCTGCAGCTCCCAATAGTCCTAATCGCAGATCAGAGCAATAAATAAACAAAACGCTATGGATATCTTTTGTTCATGCATATGAAGTGAAATTTTGCAGTGTCATCATCTGTGATCTGTAACCACAGACCTCAGAACCCAAACACACACATAGAGAACAATAAAGCATAGGGCCTAGGGAGCATCCACCCTCTCCAAAAACCCAGGGTCTGCATCAATCCTATTTTCAAACTTTGCCCACCAATCTCTAAACACTCTTAATGGCACAACCTCCTCACCTGGCACCCTAGGGTCTGAAACTGCAAAGCTAGCCAAATAGTTAAATGCATTTCCAATAATCTGCTTTGCGAGGGTTTTTGCTGAGACTGATGATGGTGCCCACTTAGCCATCGCTGCACCCTGTTGTCCTGTGGACAATTTGAGTAGGTCCGTTGTGGACGGGAACGACGACATCTGCAGCTGGATCTGGTTCTGAGTCTGGTTCTGGAGGTCTGCGATCTTTGATGCAACGGCCTGCACGGGTTCGATGGTGATGCCCAGTGTGATTGTAGCGTTGGGGTTTATATCCACTGTGTTGGCAGGAGTGACACTAGTGCCTTCATCCATCATATCATCTTCTTCTTCAGCCTCAGTACGTCGCCGCGCGGAAGGGAAGTTGACTTTGAAGATTGCGGATGGCTTCTCATTGGCAATTGCGCCTAGGAACTTAAATTCCGGGTCCGCATTGGTGGCGGACGATGAGAGGGGAGGGGCAGCGGTTCCGGTGTTGGGGTTGAGGATGAGGTCTTTGGGGAATTGGACGTATACTGCTGCTGCGGTGTCAGCCGGTAAGACAACGCCTGGAAGAAGGAAGATGACTATGTGGGAGAACTTGGGGAGGGCGGGAAATGTGAATGCGAAGTTGTTTGCGGGGACTGTGGGGTCTGACGAGAGCGGGACGACGTCAGTGAGGCAGGGCCTGCTGGGGAGGATGACGGAGAACATGGCTGGGACTCGTAACGAGCTGCGCATATATGTATGAACTTTGTGTGCACGTAGATATATAGTGCATGCGTCGCTTTTTGTAGCTTTTAGAATAGGTTATGATTGTTTTCGGTACAGGTGAGTGCTTATTTTCATTTTTGTTTTTCAAGACCTATGACGTTTTGCCTCAAGAAGTTAGTAGAGATTTGTCTGGTATGTGAAGCATTATCGTCAATTCGCACTTTTTGTTTCTGTTGAATCAAGGAAAGACAAAAATTTATTTGAGCGCATCGTCTTTGTTTGGCTTCGAGCCCTGACTAAGCAGATCTAACAAACAACCAACCAAAAGATTGTAGCAAGACTCAAGAGAATCTGCCAAAATTTTCCGGTCACTTATGGAAAAGGGACGACATATAGACGTGTTACCCAAGGAGCATCCTATTTATCACTATGAACCAAGGATGAGTTGTTTGGATGGATTGCAGAAGCAATGGAACGGGTTAAACAACTCTTACCCTACATCAGACAACATCAAACACTATTTTCAAGCCTTGTCAAGAGACCCATTATGGGCACGCGGAGTACCAGAAGTGCATTCAGGGTACTTTGCACATATGCCGGTATTTTACGGTCGAGTATTCTCACAATTTAATTTAGCCAGCCAGCTCAGAACTATACATGGATAGTGCAATACATGCTTGATTGCCCCTCCTCCTTTTCAAGTCTCTTCCGTTTAGTTTTGGTTCCAGAGGTTCTCCTCTAGTTTTCGAGATAAGATCCGAGCAAAAATGGAAGTGCCTGCGCTTCCAAACGAACTCATTTTGCACATTATCAGATGCCTTATTCCATCTCCACCTCCCGTGGCGTTCGCTGCCCCGCATCCGGTGACAAAAACCTTGCTCAACCTCACGCTGGTGTCACGTCTTACATCAGGCACTGCAAAAGGTCTTCTCTTGAAGCACTGCCTATATATAGAGTCCAGTGATCGCTTAGCAAAGCTCGTCCATCTCAGAGAACGGTCACTAGTCGATCTCACAACCGCAGCACCCAAGGGACTTTTCCTAAGTCCCTTCCCCCAAGAGAATCTCGATTTTCCCAGCATTGCACAGAATGTCAGCCTGCTGCTGTCCGACATTAAGAGAACACTCACCCGCCTCGTTATCAACCTGCCACTGCGTTACCTCCGGCCGGAATATGATGAACATCTCGTACGTCCGGTGCTTCGGGAAGCGTTTTCCGGCTTGACTGCCCTGGAAGAATTCTGCTCCATGCAAGATGAGCTCTATCTGGACACGGATGAACACCACCTACAACCCGCGGTATGGCCCGCGTGGCCACAATTGCGGCGCCTTGCCCTGTACAATGCTTGCGTCGATGATGCTACGTTCGTGGCAGGTATCAAACGCTGTTCCAACCTGACCCATCTGGTCCTTCCGCGTGCAGATGGGATATTCTACCAAGTCCCAAATGACCCCGCTGGATTTGGAGCCTTGGCAAAACTCAAGCGCGTTGTTGTCATCAATACTAAGCGAGGCTTTAGTCATGATCTGAGCTTCGTCGAGGACGATCATGCTGCGGCAAAAGATACCCTTTTGGGGAGATTAAGGGGTGCTTGGTTGAGTCATAATGTTGGTCAGGCTTCTGTACAGATGTCTGAGTCTGACCACTTTTGTGTGGCGGTTGAAGTACCTATCCCGCCTAATCTGGAGCAGGAAGGTGACAGCGATATCTCATTATGCCAGGAGTGGGTTGGTAACCGTGCTGTGGATGGAACATTGTGGGATGTGACAGGCAACCCTTTCCTCGACTGGCCGAGGTCTTGATGCTCTGCGCTCGGTTTCCGAAGCTTTATTTTCAAAACGCATTTTCGTTCTAAACCAACATAGTTGTATCCCTTCTTGCTTATCACGGAGAGTATGAAGGAGAGCTACTACCCATATTTTAGATCAATCTCTATGTACACAGCGGTGTTGTAAGTGCATCCAGCTTATAGCGTAAAATACTTCTGCTCATCACTTAACAAACTGTTAGCATTGGGATATCTCTTCCTAGTGTGGGCAGAATCTAATCCATGAAGGAATCGTAGCCACCTGCTTATTCTTTTAATAAAACTCAAAATGACGCAGGGACGGAAGTACACACATTGGCGTATATAGTTTCTATTCAACAGAGCTCGTGGGTGCATCCTTGGAGTTCAATGCCCTTTCCTCCCTATCAAACCAGAATGCTAACCCGAATCCTACCCCACCCACTCCTCTACCCTGAAGTGGAGGAGCATCCGAATCTCAATACCCAAATAAAATCAAAGACGTGAATATGCAAGGTATCACGAGAAGAGAACTATCATAGCCAGTAACTTATTAGTAGCATAACTCCCAGCACTTCTCCCCCCTCTCAATCGTACAGTTTTAGCCCTCTGCCACTTTATCCCCGCGATAGTTACCCTGCGAATCGGTGTCCCGATTTGCCCTCCACTCGCCCTCCTCTTCCCCAGCCCCAACAAACTCCTCCCGCTTCCAGATCTCCACTGCCGCCTTACATTCCTCCAAAACTTCCTCCCCAGCCCTCCATGCGGGGCGCCTATGTCCCGCAGCGACGGCAATAGCAATTGATTCCTCCGCAACCCGGACCTCGCCCAGGCGATGCGATATACTTATGCCACACAGCTGATATTTGGTCACTGCACCGCGGGCGATTTTCTCCAATGTGCGCAGCGCCAGGGGTGCGTAGCTGGTGTATGTGAGGCGGGCAACGGGGCGGTTGTCGAACGTTGATCGGGTGGTGCCCAGGAAGAGGACGTTGGCACCTGCGTGGGGCGAGCGGATCTGTGCGAGGCTCTTTGTTGGGTCGAGGGGGTTGTAGGTTAGTTCTAGATGGATGTTTGAGTCGGAGAAGTAGCGGGTCTGCGGGTAATTGGCCGGGTTTAGGTGTGCGGGAAGAGGGTTGGAAGAGGAGGAGGCGGAGGCGACGGGGTTGAGGTCGACTTCCGGCTGTGGTGTTGGGTTTTGCATGGTTGCTGTTGTTGAGTCTCGAGCTTGTCAAGAGGAAAGGATTACTGGCCGCCGAACTCTCGCGGTTCCAAGGTTATTATTAAGAGTTACGTTCATTATCACAGTACAGTGGTCTAAAAAAGAGGATCAAGTCAAAACCGCAGATTCAATTTTTAATTCTAGCCCATTAGCGGGTTTAAATAGCAGCCCAATCTTCTGCAACACTACTGGTTTTGACACATGGCAGAACCTCCATCGCGCTACGAGCTTCATAACCAGGACCTTGACCTCAAGCATTGCGAAAGATTTACCTAGGCAGGCTCGCGGACCGGTATTGAACGCCTGGAATGTGTATCCATCACGAGCTGAAGTTGGCAAAGTTTTCCAACGATCAGGATCAAATTTCTCCGGATTTCTACCCCATATAATACTGTTAGACTGAGGCATAACTGGAAACATGAGGACATGTGTGCCAGCAGGGATAAGTTGGCCGCATATTGAAACGTTATGAATGGCTTCACGCATGGAACATGTGGCTAAAATTGGAGCTACCATCAGCTTTCTTCCTAGCCTATTAGTGTTCATTATATCGGTTAGTGAGGAAGGCACTTACAGGGAGGATAGCAGCGGAGAACTTCTTTGACAAAGTGATCTAACAACTCTAGCTTGCAGATGTCTGAATACTTGAGCTCGCTGCTTTTCCCGTCGCCCGCTGCGTTAATTTCGTTTCGCAGGCGATCTTGTACATCCTGGTGGCTTGCTAGTGCATGAAATGCCCACAGCATGGTGGCTCCGACAGTTTCTAGTCCTATTTCTCATTGTTAGCTATCGGGTTCAATATGGAAGACATGCGGTACTTACCGGCAGCTAGGAAAGTTCGGAGCTACATTTTTGGGTTAGTAAATTCCCTTTTTTTTTTTTTTTTTTTTTTTTTTTTTTTTTGAAAAAAAAAGGGGGGGGAGGGGAGGGAAAGAACCATATTCGATCGTAGGCCGAATTCATTGACAGAAGTTAAGCTTACATGGTCGACAATTTCATCTTCAGGGAATTCATCACTTTTTTTCAGTTGTTCTTGAATTATTAGTGTCAATATGTCTTTGTTTTTCGATTTCAATCTTTCTCTCCACAAACTTCTTATTTCGTGAGTTCGCTGCTGTACATGCTTCTTCAAAATTTGCTTTATCTCAATATTTGCATCAGTATATTCTCGGTTCGTTTTCACTGGTAAAAGCCGTCGTACCGGCACACACGTATTGAGAACCAGCATAACACGGGACATCGTGGTAGAGCTAAATATTGTATGATAACATCGTCCAAGCTCGCTGGCAATAGAATGGCCGTCGAGCTCGAGTCCGAGGATTGCTTGGCTGATTATATCAAGTAACGATTTTGATATCAAGCATGAAACTGTCCAAACATTACCATTGTCCATTGTAACTTGCAGACACCAGTTCTTACTTTCAATAGCTCCTGTTTCACTATCCACAACAAGTGTCTCGATGGAAGAAGAAAGCTCATCAGCATTCTGTTCGAAAACGGGTAGTAGGTGCTTGACGTTTTTATTCAAAAAAGGACCTTCAAATTGTCAGTCAGAAGCTCAACTCCAATGCAATGGGTAAGCTCTAGGTCCAGCTCGGATGGAGGCTCGAAATACCGGCAAGTAACTTTTTCTGCTTTCTGTGGACATCGCCTTCGGCAAAAAAAAGACCGCCTCCAATCATGTCCCCTACTAAACGCTTAAAGAATCTTGGTTTGGCGAAAGAATACGCGTGGGTAAATGTTACCTCGCGGAATGCTCTTGGGCTATTGACAAGAACCACTTCGTGGTTCCCTGGAGCAAAATATCGAATTAGATCCGCATCAGGAAATTTCTTCATCCATGCCAAGGCAATCGAATTCGGACAGGAAGCGGTGATCTGGTTGTAGGTCTGACCAAGAAGAAATTGTGTATACTACCAAGGGAGAGAGTTAGCTCTTCTGTCCATGAGAACTTTTGACAGAGCGATGCACACAAACATTTGGGCCAGGAAGAGAACGTAGTGGCGACGCAATGAGCGGATAGATCCATATCCAATAGGTCTTTAAAACGACATATTGAACAATGAATAGGGTCCAAAAGACCCGCCGACTGAATGATGTGGTGACTTGATCAAAAATATGGAAACCATAGGTTTCCACAACAGATATTGAAACAACCTTAAGGATGTCCATCCGCACGACAGTCTCCAAAGTGGGATCGATGAAACTTGAGTGGCCTGTTCCGTCAAGGATATAAAAAAATTCTCTGGAATAGACGCAAGAAAAATGTAAAAGGTGCGATTCTTGAGTTTTAGTTATTGATCTAACGGCTCAGTTCTTCCAGACCCTGGATGTTTTCAGCCCACTGGGCCGATTGACCAATGCGCTTTTGTCGAAACACTCTGCTGGCCAAGTCTTCCATATGACATATTAAAGGCCTTCAAATGGAAATGGGTATGGGAAATCAGAAACAGCAAGGCGTGTGGAGAGGAAGATGTTGTGACATCGACCACAGCCCACACACAACAGGGGAAGAAACATGTGGGTACATCCATGTTTTTAGAAGCCATATAGATGCTAGGGAAAATCAACAGGGAAATATCAATATGATCGGCAGATACCTTGCGAAAACTCGCCCTTTGAAATAGAATTGAATCGAATCAATTCCTACCATATACTCGGCGGAAGTTGACGGGGATGCGGAATGCGTTCTGGAACTAGACTTGGGTCTCTAGTAAAGATCGGGCTTCATTTCCGGTACAGGGCTCGTCTAAATAAATATATTAATCTTTTAAGCGTCAAATATCCCTGAAAAGCAAACTGTAGTCAACAGACAAACTGCAGTTGACAGACCCTTGAGGGTTGTGACAAACTACGATAGCACCGTCGGGTATATTTACCGAGGTCAGAATTACCCGAATGAATATTAAATCCGACAACGTTGAAACCTGAATGGCCCAGCGTCAGGGCAAAAAACCTTCGACAAGAGTTGATAATGTGAATTAGTCAAAGAAGTAGCGGCGGATTTGGTGTCCGCATTCAGTTTGGTTCTCAAGAATAATATTGGAGCTATGGGTACCAAGGCCAAATAAGAGGCTATCGAGGTACTTCTGACGTGTAGCCATGTCACCCCGCAATGAGTATTAATAATTATTCACGAGAATGGCACCCTAAGCAGTAACTGTGTTCCAAGCAACTTGAAGCAAACTATGGACCATGTTCTCCAGATTTTGTCCGAACCCAAAGTTTGTGGAAGTTCAAAAAGAAGCCGGTGCCATTTAAACCAAACTAGCCTAATAAAGCTAATGGCATATTGCCCATGCATAGCTATCCCGATGTCAATGGGAGAGCATGTTTATCCCTTCTGATCTGGTTATTTTTGGTAGTCAATAACTAGTAAATATACGCTCATGAAGTGAGGACTCACTGAAAACTCAGTATCTTACTTCCAAGCAATTCCACTGCTTTGACAATGTAAGTTCTCATTTTTTAAACGAATACTGAAGCACAAAACAACCGATTTGGGAATTAACTCTTAACATGTTCAGCAGAAATGTGATGACGGTACGGAAGTTGGCCCAGTATGAGGTTGCTTGCAATCACATGACCCTGTGCCCCTTTCCATACATACTCAGACATCATACATACAAAAGGACCCTGGAATCTATGTTCCTAGTACTTCTTCAAGACCCGGACTTGTAAACCAATCGATTTCGTGTTCTTTGGCCTTGGGACAAAAAGGTCATGGCTAATCTCAATATCGTTCTTTAGCGTACCCCACAGCTGAAGTTCAAACTTCCTGAAAATAGTAGCAATTGCGATAAGCAGTGTCGTCTGCGCTAGACTGTTAAATGGTAGAGCAAGCATCAGATTGGTGAGTTTGCTGATTAAAACTGGCTTGAGCCATAAACCAGCACCGTTTCTTGGAAAAGAGCTAAACTAACCGTTGCCCAACGCATCGCCGAGAACCCTTCCCGAAGGACACCAGGTATCTCTCAAGTCGCTTTCGTTCCTGCAGGTCCAGCCAGCGCTCTGGAACAAACTTGCATGAGTTTGGGAAGATGGTTTCATTGTGGTGCATGAGAACCGATGTCATTCCAACGGGAGTCTGTCAATTGGAAGAAAGGGCTCATGAGCAAGGTCCGTCTTGTCGATGTTCAAATAATAATAAGATAGTTGGTCCACCGTCTACTTACTCCTGGAGGAATACAGTAATTCTTGTACTGAATTGCTTGCTCAGGCGACTTCCGTTGCAGCCGTGTGCTTACTCCGTACGACAACCTAGGAGTCAAGTTTCAGTATGGCATCCTTTACATCACTTTCCACTGGCCATCATTACCGCAATCCCTCAAGGATGACCGAAGTCTAACACCGAAGAGTTAGTTAACCTTCTGTCAATCTGGGTTCCGTACACCAGGAGACAAACCAGGTATGGAAGCTTTCCCAGCTCGTGGACTTGCTGCTCAGAATTGCCACCGTCTTCCAAAATGGAAAGCTCGTTTTGAAGTTTTTGGAGTTTGTCTGGATTGTCGAGAAGATGGTATGTTATGACAGTTAGCGCGTTTGACGTTGTTTCAATACCCGCAGCTGTTGTAGATCGGATTTCTTGGAGAATTCGCTCAGGAGTTTTCTCTTCAACTTCCAAATTAGAATCAAGGATTTGGTCGATCAACGTGTATCCCTTTGATATTTCCGTTTCCACACGCTGAGAGCCTTTACCTCTATCTATTTGTATTTCATCAATCTTACGACGAAATCGTTCTTCCAGTTCAAAAAACAAGCCCAGACCAGGGTTTGAGGAGGATACCCAGGCTCGAGGGAAGTGTTTTAAAATTTCAAGTAACCAGGTGACCTGCCTAGATACCATCACCATTTCTGATAAAGTTCGCAACGCCCACCTCCAATGTGGAAGCCACTCAGGTGCGTCGAGCCATTGTTGGTTTTCATCTAGCACGTATGAAACGATTAGGTCCGTCGCCAAACATGTATACCCAAGCGACAGTGGCATTGTCTTGCCAGTGACCCGGAATTGCTCCCAAGTATTCGCAAAGTCTGTGGACAAGCTGATGGACAGACCTTCACGTTGTGCAACTTTTCCATTACAAAACATGGGTTCAATGCACCTCTACGACGACGTGTG